TTGTAGAAGCCTGTAACAGCATCTCCCATTCGCTGGGTGTTTGCAGATCTTCTTTTTCTCAGCCACAGTTATGACGGTGCTTTCTAAAGAAGAGAGAGCCCCCGTTAGATAAGGGCTACGAGAAGCTCCCTTTGCTAACTCAACTCACTTCTCCTTCCAGTCAGATATCTACTTCAGAGCTGCCACAGCAGTGAGCGAGGTGTCCAACAGCAGCTCGAAGGAGACCAGCTCGCCTGGGTCCCCTCAGACTCCTTGCGTTCAAGAAAATCTCATTTTCTCTCCTTCCACAGCAGAAGGTAAGGAAACTGGTCTGGAGACCATCAACTGGCTGATTTGCTAAAGCGTCGGTCCTTTCCGACATCAATTCCCAATATTAGGCTTTCTGTTTTACCCCATCATAGAGGTTAAGAGGGACGCGGTGGCTCAGTGGCTAAGACGTTGAACTTGTCGATTGAAAGGTCGGCAGTTTGGTGGTTCGAATCCCTAGTGCTGCGTAACAGGGTGAGCTCCTGTTCCTTGTCCCAGCTTCTGCCAACCTAGCAGTTCGAAAGCACGTAAAAAAAAAATGCAAGTAGAAAAATAGGGACCACCTTTGGTGGGAAGGGAACAGCGTTCCGTGCGCCTTTGGCATTGAGTCATGCCGGCCACATGACCACGGAGACGTCTTCGGACAGCGCTGGCTCTTCGGCTTTGAAACGGAGATGAACTCGGTACGAAGTTGAAAAGAATTATCTATCCTTAGCTACTCTTATTGTTGGGACCCTTTTTTCAATGCCGGTCACTAAACAATCGGTTGTAAGTCAAGGATCATCTGTAATATGAGTGTATCTGGAAGGCAAAGCTTCCAGGAATGGTTGTTGATTATCAGCTCTTTGGCCAACTCTCTTAAGCCACATTGGGTGTCATCAGCACTCTTCTCTTCCTCCTCCCAGGCGAAGCTCCGTGCAGGAATATCTACAAAATCCCCCTCAGCAATCTGGTTGGCCGGAGCATCGAGCGCCCGCTGAAGTCTCCCATGGTGCCCAAAGTCATCACCACCCCGACGTTATCTGGCATGGCCCCGATTCCGGTGGCACCTTCCCTCTCTTTGTCGCGGATAGAGATCAAAGAGATTGCCAGCCGAACTCGCAAGGAATTGCTCGGTAAGGACTGCGAGAGCATTTTCCGAATAAATCCACGAAACAGGACTTTTCGGACCAACTTTGAGCCTTGGCCTCTGGGACCAGGGAAAAGTTCTTAGGTTGCATCATAAAAATTAATTGATTGATCAGAATAGAGCTGGAAGGGACCTTGGAGGTCTTCTAGTCCAACCCCCTGCTCAAGCAGTAGACTCTATACCATTCCAGACAAATGACTATCCCATCTCTTCTTGAAAACCTCCAGTGATGGAGCACCCACAACTTCTAGTGGCAAGCTGTTCCACTGGTTAATTGTCCTCACTATAAGGAAATTTCTCCTTAGTTCCAGGTTGCTTCTCTCCTTGATTAGTTTCCATCCGTTGTTTCTTGTCCTGCCTTCTGGAAAATAAGTTAACCCCCTCCTCTTTGGGGCAGCCCCTCAAATACGGGAAGACTGCTATCATGTCCCGTCCTCCCCCCCCCCAGTCTTTCTTTTCTCTAGACTAGCCACACCCAATTCCTGCAACCATTCTTCATACGTTTTAGTCTCCAGGCCTTGAATCATCTTAATTGCTCTTCTCTGCAACTTTTTCCAAAGTCCCAACATCTTTTTTTATAATACGGTGACCAAAATTGGATGCCAAAATTCCAGATGTGGCTTTACTAAGGTTTTATAAAGCGGTATTATTATTATTATTATTATTATTATTATTATTATTATTATTTAATCTTTAGTGAGATTCACAGCCTTTGAGGCTGGTTAATAGCTCAGCAGCTCGAGTCCTAACCAAGGACCTAGGAACTGTTAAGGTATCGTCGGAGGATGTAAGCTGTTCCGAGTAAGGTGGTTTTTTGTAGAGTCAAAATGTTCAAGTCCGGCAAATTTAGAATTTCTAAATAGCGGGGTAGCCGTTTGGGTATTGCTCCAAGGGCTCCAATTACAATCGGGACAACATTCTTCATATGTTTATTATTATTATTATTATTATTATTATTATTATTATTATTATTATTATTTGCATTGGGATCTCCTGCAGTTTTAGTTCTTTGTGACTCAAAACTGACACAATCATCGCTCAAAGTCACAAACCTAGCTTGGCGACTGCAAAAGATAAGAGAGTTTTATTTTAGAGTATCTTTTTTTGCATTCTGAAATATTACATTACCGGTCTCCGGCATCTGCAATATTGGAGAACTGTTGGTCAAGGTTGCTTGATGTTTGTTTGTTTGTTTGTTTGTTTGTTTGTTGAATGATTGATTGATTGATTTTGTCAAACACGTACGAGATAACAGGTATAGGTATAAACATGGACGTGAGCACATGAAATGAGTACAAATAAATGGGGACAGTAGGACAGGGACGGTAGATACGCTGGTGCGCTTATGCACGCCCCCTTACAGACCTCTTAGGAATGGGGTGAGTTCCACGGTAGACAGTTTAAGGTTGAAGCTATGGGGGTTTGAGGATGTAACAAGAATCAGGGAATGCGTTCCAGGCATTGACCACTCTGTTGCTGAAGTCGTATTTTCTGCAATCGAGTTTGGAGCGGTTTACCTTGAGTTTGTATCGATTGTTTGCCCGTGCGTTATTGTGGTTGAAGCTGAAGTAGTCGTTGACAGGTAGGAGGTTGTAGCAGACAATGTTGTGTACTATGCTTAGATCGGACCGCAGGTGGCACAGTTCCAGATTGTCCAAGCCCAAAATTTCAAGCCTGGTGGCATAAGGGATTCTATTGTGAGCAGAGGAGTGGAGGATTCTTCTGGTGAAACACCTCTGGACTCGCTCACTTGTATTAATGTCCGATATACAGTGTGGATTCCAGGCAGACGAGCTGTATTCGAGAATTGGTCTGGCAAAGGTTTTGTATGCCCTAGTTAGCAGTACAGTGTTACCGGAGAAAAAGCTTCGCAAAATTATGTTAACAACTCTTAATGCCCTAATGCTCACTGTTACAGTGAGCTCTGAGCCTTAGATCATTTGAGATGAGTACTCCTAGGTCCTTGACAGAGTGAGAGTCATCTATTGTGGAATGTTGAAGTCCACCTGTCTTAAAGTCCCCAAGTTTGAAAAAACACGAGTATAGATGATATTAGGATGGATCAATTGAGAGTCACTTCCAATGTTCCTCTTTAATTCGGCCTCTTTAGTCAGAACCCCCGTCCCAATTTAATTTTTAGAAGGACAACAGTAGGTCAAAGATCTTTCTTGGCTTTCCAACTGAAGTCTCTGGTATTCAATACCTCTATCATGGCGAGCCTTGTTCTGTTTCTTGTTTCAAGGTGTAGGCAAGCTTCTTCATAAGGCTGGCATTGGTGAGACCCATCTTTATTGTTTTACTATTATGATTATGATTTCTGACAATTATTACCCACCTTAGAGACCCTCTGGAGTTAGGAAAACAAGAAAGGAAACATCTTCCAAGGATTGACAGATGTTCTTTCCTGGTTTCTCCAGGTCTCTTAAACGATCCTTCTTCGAAGTCCGAAGGTGGCCCAAAACAGAAGAAGCTTCCATTGAAACAATCAGACCCCCACAAACGGGGAACTCTACGGTCCTCCAGCAGCGACAGGTAAGCAGCAACCGACTGGGGAGAGAGTTGGGGGGAGGCTACAAGCCTGCACCCCAGTTTCCCAAAGTACCTGATACTTTGAAGCTGTAGATGAAGACTAGAAGTATACATTCATTGAGAGGATAACATTGGGTGCAACACAATCCAAGGTAGTTTTCCTATATTCTTAGCTTGGAAGATGCATTTTCATTTTTCATTTTCATTTTATTAAATTTATATACCGCCCTACTCCCGAAGGACTCATCTCAAGGCCACTGTTCTGACTTAACGTTTTTGTGATAGCTAAAACCTTTCTAAGATCAGTAGAGTAGAGTAGAGTAGAGTAGAGTAGAGTAGAGTAGAGTAGAGTAAGTAGAATAAAATATGAATTTAGAATAGAGTAGAATAGAGTAGAATAGAATAGAATAGAATATGTATTTAAAATAGAATAAAATATGAATTTAGAATAGAGTAGAATAGAGTAGAATAGAATAGAATAGAATAGGTATTTAAAATAGAATAAAATATGAATTTAGAATAGAGTTGAGTAGAATATGAATTTAGAAGAGAATAGAATTTTGTCATTTTAAATGTACACTAATCACCATACAGGGGACGCAGTGGCTCAGTGACTAAGATGCTGAGCTTGTCGATCGAAAGGTCGGCAGTTCAGCAGTTCGAATCCCTAGTGCCGCGTAACGGGGTGAGCTCCGTAAAAAAATGCAAGTAGAAAAACAGGGACCACCTTTGGTGGGAAGGTAACAGCGTTCCGTGCACCTTTGGCGTTGAGTCATGCCGGCCACATGACCACGGAGACGTCTTCGGACAGCGCTGGCTCTTCGGCTTTGAAATGGAGATGAGCACTGCCCCCTAGAGTCGGGAACGACTAGCACAGATGTGCGAGGGGAACCTTTACCTTTACCTCTTACTCTAGAGTAGAGTAGAGTAGAGTAGAATATGAATTTAGAAGAGAAGAAAACTTTTGTCATTTTAAATGTACACTAATCACCATTCATTAAAATGAAATTTCGTTGCATTCAGCTCTCAAAAGACAATCCTTATTCATATACCCACATACAGACACACATATATGACACAGAAACATCACAGTCTAGTTCAGATGTACACATATACATGGCGGGAGAAAAAAAAAAAGAATCCTGCGAGTTTACAAGACGGATAGCATAATAAGGAACAAAGCCGTTACAGAATCTAGCAAGTCCTGCTATCGATGCTTCGGAATCTCTTCCCAGAAGGGATGCAACATAAACAAGCTGTGAAGAGCATGACGTACTTCTACAACCCACCACCCCAACTCTTCCCATTTCTGCTTTCCTCTCCCCAGGCTTGTTGTGACTTCCGTTGAGAGCACTTCTGAAGAGCCTCACTTCTCTACCGTTTCGGACGTTGACCCTGTCCCACTGGAGGAGGAGAAGGAGGAGGAGGAGGAGGAGGCCCAGCCCAGCCCTCGCTTCCAACTCGGGACCTCATTTGACGAAGGTGTCATTGACTTGAAGTGAAGACAGCCGGGAGGACCCATCTTTGCACGCACTCCCCTCCCCCTCCCCCATTCTCTGCCTTTGCCCCCACCCCCATTTTGTATAGCTCTCTTAAAAACGGTATCCATCACAGCCAAAAGTCCTAGTAATTTTAGAAGTGGTCACCACAGGCAATCCAAGAGAGGAGCCCAGGGATCCAACTCTGGAGGCCTGAATTGTCTCAGTCGATCGAGTGATCGAACGAGAGGCTAATTCTGGATGCCTGAATTGTTTCAATTGATCAATTGATCGGCCAGCTCTGGATGCCTGAATTGTTTCAATCGATCGATTGATCGAACGAGAGGCCAGCTCTGGATGCCTGAATTGTTTCGATTGATCGAACGAGAGGCCAGCTCTGGATGCCTGAATTGTTTCAATTGATCAATTGATCGGCCAGCTCTGGATGCCTGAATTGTTTCAATCGATCAATGGATCGAACGAGAGGCCAGCTTGGATGCCTGAATGATTTCAATTGATTGATTGATCGAACAAGAGGCCAGCTCTGGATGCCTGAATTGTTTCAATCGATCGATTGATCGAACGAGAGGCCAACTCTGTATACCTGAATTGTTTCAATCGATTGATTGATCGAACGAGAGGCCAACTCTGTATACCTGAATTGTTTCAATCGATTGATTGATCGAACGAGAGGCCAGGGATGTGTCTGTATGCGTGTGTATAGTCTTTTTGGTGACAAAAGAGCGGTCACCCAATTTTTTTTGTGTTGTTGAAAAAAAAAAAAAGCTTTGGGTGAAGGATTGGATGAGTTTTAATCAGTGAATTGATTAAACCTCTATATTTTCACATGGCACGTAGATTTCGAGGAACCAGACTGCTGACAGTTCAGGGGTGGGGCAAGTTCTAAGTGCTCCCTTCCTTCATGGCAACGATCAACAGTCACCTTCCCTTTCTCCATCGGCGCTGGGGGATGGTGATGACCTTGGACAGTCTTGGAGATTGTCCCCAGATTAGGAGATCAGAATGGAAAGAATGGAGAACGGAAATTCTCTGACCGACATTTCCCACCATTTGAAGCTAGAAGGAGGGTCCTGGATCCGTGCCGAGGATGGTCTCCATCTTCCTTCTCTGAAACAGGCCAGGGATTCTGCTTCCTTTAGGGTCTTCGCTTATATTCCATATTTATTTTTAATTACACAGCTGCAGCGAAGCAGCGGGTCATTGCAGTCTGCCCCAGGAGGAAGATTCTAGAAGCATCTGGTTTGTCACTGTCTGTAGGGCGTAGGCTGCTGGACCCGAACATCACAATCCAAAGGTGTATTTGGTGTGTGGAGTTGCCCCCTCCCACTCCTCCGAATCCTGCACATGACTGCCAAACTAATTTCTGATGGGATCAGAAGGGAGAGGTTATTAGTAAACGATGGTCAGGCCATCTCTACTCAATCGATTGCTTTGGCACACTCAAGATTTGATTGTGCATTCTTGAAAGAGCTTTTTGGTCTGATCCGGGGGAAGGGGGTGGGTGGGAAGAAATCTGTAATTCTTTAATTTAAAAAGGTGTGGCAGAATCACAGAGTTGGAAGGGACCTTGGAGGTCTTCTAGTCCAACCCCCTGTTCAAGCAGAAGAGCCTATCCCATTTTTTAGACAAACGGTCGCCCAGTCTCTTCTTTGAAATCCTCCAGTGGTGGAGCGCCTACAGTTTTAACTCCCCACCCCAAATATATAAGTCTTGTCCACTTAACGATGGTTGCTTCTACTTAGGAAAAAAATCTTGTCAAGGAACCTGATCCATTGCAAAAAAAAAAAAAACCCTTGCAGTTCCATTAAACCATAAGCTTTTCCTCTTCCGTTACAACAGATAGATAGACGAGAGCTTCCTTAAGCTGAACATCTGTTCTTCCCCTTCCCGCCTCATTTTGATTCGCAGATAAGTGTCTCTCTAGATTCCCCCAATTTCTGCCAAGTAGAAAGACAAGGTTAGATAGAGCAATACAGCTGTTTCTTTATCCCCGGGCATCTTCGAAAAATACTGCAATCTGAAAGTCGTGCAGGCTTTGGATGAGTGACTTTTCCTAGCGGTCGTGAATAGATTGGCTGAAGAGTTTAAAACTTGAAGGTGACTGCTGGGATCTAGTAACCGATTGAGCTTTTTCAAGAGAGACAAGGAAACCTTGAAAGAGACACCGTATCTCCGGGGTATGGACATGTGAAGCTACTTCCAACCTCTGTTGAGCTTTGGGTTTTTCAAAAAAGTTGGCAACCCTGTTTTAACCAGAGGCAAGGTGGCACCAGAAACATCCCCTGACTCGTCTCTTGGGAGGGAAATCCCTCTCAAAGCCACCTTTAATCTCAGCGACATTTCCATGTGCCCTAACCCATCTCCTTGGCCCTTCCTCACATTGGATAAGTTTCTGACCTGTGGTTGGTTCAGACACCCTTGTCTATGGAGATTCTCAATCATCCAGGTCATGGTTGTCCCTTTTTCCAAAAGGCAACTGGACTTTTTCTGGATTTTTTTCCTTGGAAAAACTCCCATGACTCTCAGAAAGAGCGCTAACGACCAGAGGACTGCAAATGAATAGAAATCCTTCCATTCCCCGCCATTCAGCTAGAACCGAAGAAGCTTCTCGGATGAGAAGCGAAACGTCTTCAAGGAAGGGGGGAAAAAAACCCCCAACAAGAAAGTCCAGTTGCCTTTCGGAAAAGCACTTTTGGTTCAGACGCCCGTAGAAACCGGATCTCCGTCTGAAGGGACAAGTAACCCTGGCCCATGAGAGAAAAACTGGCACCTGACGGCTGACCTCTGCTCTGATGCCATTATTTCCTTGCCACCAAATTGACTCTGATTTGTCCTCCCTCGCATGAATAATCCCGCCCTGCTAGTTTATTTATGTGTATTTATTTATTTATTTATTGCCCCCTCACTTCCGATCGGCAGACCAAGCAATACGTCCAAGTAACGACACCCTTCCAAGAATCAAACGGTCCGCTTTTGACTACAGAAGACGGCAGGATGTCAATTTTATTTATTTTATTTTATTTTATTTTTTCATTTTAGAACCGGATCATTTCTTAGCTTTCATGAATGTCCGAATACAGAACAGAATACAGAATAACAAGAGTTGGAAGGGGCCTCGAAAGTCTTCTAGTCCAACCCTCTTTCTCAGGCAGGAAGCCCTACACCACTTCAGACAAAACGGTTGTCCGGTCTCTTCTTTAAAACTTCCAGTGTTGGGACATTCACAACTTCTGAAGGCAAGTTGTTCCACCGATTCATTGTTCTCACTGTCAGGAATTTTCTCCTTAGTTCAAGGTTGCTTCTCTCCTTGGTTAAGTGTCCATCCATTGCTTCTTGTCCTGCCTTCAGGTGCTTTGGAGATTAGGTTGTCCCCCTCCTCTTTGTGGCAGCTCCTTAGATATTGGAAGACTGCTATCATGTCACCCCTAGTCCTTCTTTTCATTAAACTAGACATATCCACTTCTTTATACGTTTTAGCCTCCAGTCCCCTCATCATCTTGGTTGCTCTTCTCCGCAGTCTTTCTAGAGTCTCATCAGTTTGTCAGTTTCCTTCCTTCCCTCCTTCCTTGCAACGTCTATTCTGAGATTAGAACGAGGCAGGTCTAGGAAGGGATCCCCACCTCTGGGGGTGATGATCTCTACTTTGCAACCCTTCCCGGTGGATCCTCCACTCCGTCTTCGATCTCCTACCTCTTTTTACCCACCAAGGTTCCATGATCGAGCCCCTCTGGGCCTTCGCCCGATTGCCTTATGTTTTTTGCTCGTTGAACAGAGCACTTAAAATCCATCTCGGGCGGGATGGTTCTATAGAACAAACCCTTTGGACTGTTTTGCCTGCCCCACTCTTCCCAGGGGGTGCCCAGGCCTCTGGTAGATAAAACTTCGCACCCATGGCTGATGGGAAACGAGCTGCCAAATTTCTAGATTTAATAGAAGAGAGGCATTGGGTTGGGTTTGCAGGGATATCTTCCAAGAAATACGATGGGATAAGGAAGCATCCGTCAAGCCACCAGCTGATCGATGCAGATCTTCCTTTCCTGAGGATACAGCGGCCCATGTCCCCACGTCTCACAAAAACAGCCAGTCGGCAAGGCGAGGACCAGCGCACAACGAAATTCGAATCTACCCATCGCGTTCCAAACAGATTCTAATTTCTAACCGCCCTGCAGATCGGTGGCGCTAAACCACGCGCACCGGTTTCCCCTTGGCTGAAGGAGCCAGCCGGGGACGATGGGAGTTGGAATAAAGCCCCTTTTGGAAAAAAGGGGCCCGACCTTCACAAAAAGTCCCAGAGGGAAAGAAGCTGGGATGAAGGGACAGACAGAGGGAAGGGCACACGAGCTCCGTAGGGCCGCCAAGATTTGGGCAGAAATAGACTCGGTGGCTTTTGGGATGAAAATTATCCTCTTTCCCCGCCCCGCCCCCCCTACATTCTTTCTGCTAGCACCTCTTTGATCCCAAAAGAGCATTTTTATTTTATTTTTTTATTTTGGAAAAAGCAGGGTGTAATATTGCTGCTGCAAAAAATCTCGCCGGTGGGGAGGGTGTGTTGGCAGGAGGACGCTTGTTGTAAATTAGCCGAGTAATTCTTACCTATCACTCCCATTTTGCTGAGAGGTATGTTTCTCTTCTGCTCGAGGATTGTGGCACCCGCAACAATTGTACAATCAGAGGTCTTCCAGGCAGGGTAGGTTAAGAAGATTCAAATCCACACATAGGACATGTCAGCTGGCTTTGAAACACTGTTAAAACCATTTCAACTTTTTACAAAAGTTAGATTTGTAGCTCAGGGTTGAAATGAGGGGTCCTTGGCACTCTCTGAGCTTGGTGGTTTTCTCGCAGACGTTTCGTTACCCAGCTAGGTAACATCATCAGGGCAAACCCCCACCCCCTTCTAAGCACTGATGATGTTACCTAGCTGGGTAATGAAACGTCCGCGAGAAAACAAACAAGCTTGGAGAAACACCGAAGACCTCACAATGTCAACTCGTCTTTTGCTGTCTTCAATTTTGTTTCTCTCTCTTTTTTTGTGTGCCTTTGAATCGGTCTTGACTCCTGGAAACTGCCTGGAGAAATCCTGGCAGTTTTCTCGGCAAAATGTCAGAGCCAGTGGTGGGTTGCCCCCGGTTCGGACCGGTTCTATAGAACCGGTCGTAAAACCGACGGGAGGCTCCGCCCACTGACCGTGATGTCATCAGGAAGCTTCTGTATGCACGCAGAACGGGCCCCATTGCAAACCGGTAGTAAAGGTAAGTAGAACTCACTCCTGGTCAGGACTGGTTTGCCCCTTTCTTCCCAGGGCTGAGAGAGCCCAAAGTCACCCCGTTGGCTTTGCGTCTAAGGCAGTCTAGAACTCTTGGCCTCCTGGTTTTCTAGCCTGATGCCTTACCCTCTGACCCCAACTGGGTCTCCGTCGCTGATGCTCGGCACCTGACCGCAAATTTGCCAAATTTGCTTTTTTACCACTTCCAAAAAAAAAAAAAAAACAGAGACACTCTTGTGACGTCCCTAATTCAAATATTGCCTTGAAGCAGAGTCTCCCCATTGAAAAAAAAAAAGTGGCCCCCATTGAACCGGGAAATCCTGCTAAATCTTCCACCCCTTACCATTTTCATGGTGAAAAACGGTGCTGTATTTGTGTGATGAGTGTGTCACCCCTTTTGAAATTGTGGTGATAGTAGAAATTTATCCATCCAGTATCGGGGTTTCCTCCCTCACTCCCCCACTCCAAAGGCAATTTTGGAAACCACAGAAACCAAACATAGCGAAGGAAAACTGCTTAAATTTCGACTTTTTTTTCCCCCCCGAAAGGCCATGACTCTTATCTAATACGCTCCCAGCCGTGGTTAATTCTGATTTTTCATTCACGCGGGCAACTCTTTTCGCTGTGGTTTGGCGGACGAAGCCTCTTAGCAGAAGTGGTATTCGCTTAACGTTTGCTACCGGTTCGCAAATGTGAGCGGACGCGACGCCTCCTCGTATGTGAAGGGCCTTCCGCACATCTGCAGAGCGTCAAAAAAATGGGACGTGATGACATCCGGGCGGGTGGACGGAGCCTCCCGCAGCCGCCGCTGCTACCGGTTCTCCCGATAGTGGCTGAATGCCGCAACTGCCTCTTAGGTGAAACATTGTAGTCTTTGCTTACCCAGCCACAAAAAAAATACGGACAACCAGGTTTTCCTGCCAAAAGGAAACCGGGATTAAAATCCACGGGGAGGGGGTTTGTCCTTGATTCAGTGCTGATATTGATTTCTTTATATGCCAGGCAAGGTTTTCCGCTGGGCCCGGAGCTGTGTTTACAAATTGTAGGCGACGGTTATTCATCGCTCCTATCTCCGTTACTGAAAGAATGTGCAATCAGGGTGGTGGTGGGGAGTGGGTTGAGGCAAAGGGTCGATCAGCGGAGTCTTCTGGCTCACGAGAACATTTTTCCTTACGGCTTAAACTTAAGGGGTTGTAGAATTTACTATACCCATTGGCTACTTTCCCACTTTGCTTCCCGACACACGGTCTTACTCTCGAAACAATGAAACCAGGTTAACCTTCTCCGGCCTGGCACCTGGTACGAGTTACTGTACTCCTCTTTCAGCACCGGCTCATGCTGGTTGGGGATGCTGGGTGTGGTAGTCGTAAGAGACGGAAGGAGGCTGATCTGTCGGGGTTTTTTTTGTTTGTTTGTTTCTGTCTTCCTCTCGAACCGGAAAGGCCGAGCAGCGTTTTTTTCCCCTGCCCGGTAAGATCTTCCGCTGTTGCAAATAAATAAAAAGAAGAAGAAGAAGAAGGAAACGGGACCTAGCAAAACGAACCACCTTTGCTCAGAAAATGTAGCAAAACGTTTTGCCTCTTTTCCAAGATCGCAGCCACAATTGTAGCGTTTAACATTATTACACACTGATCTGCTGCGGTCGGCTTTGCACGTTCTGTTCTATTTGTGCCATTTGACTTGGTGTCTTAAATTTTTCCATGTTTTCCCTGAGGTATCCTGATGTCTCCAGAGGAAGAACTCTTCCTCCTCCTTTCTTTCCTTCTCCATCCCTCCTTCTCCTTTCTTCCCTCCTCCTCCTCCTCTGCCTTCTCCATTTCTCATTTCTTCCCTTCTCCTCCTCCTCCTTCTCCCCCTTCTTTTCCTCCTCTTCCTCTTTCTTCTCCTTTCTTCCCTTCTCCTCCTGCTCCAGTCCTCATTCCTTCCCTTCTCCTCCTCCTTTCTCTTCCTTCTTCTTCTTTCTTCCCTTGTCCTCCTTCTCCATTCCTCCTCCTCCTTCCTTCCTCTCTCTCCATTCCTCCTTGTTTCTTCCCTCCTCCTCCTCCATTCCTCTTCCTTTCCTTCTTCTTTCTCCATTCCTTCTCCTCCTTTTCTTCTTCATTCTTCCCTTTTCTCCTTTCTTCCGCTCCTTCCTCCTCCATCTTCCCCTCTCCCCTCTTTTCCTTCTCCTCTTCCTCCTCCTCCTCCTCCTCCTCCTCCTCCTCCTCCATCATCTACATTGGAGGTGGGAGAGAGAGTGGGTGCTTTTGGCAAGGATGACTTGCTAACATTTACGGAATAACTCCTCTCGCTGGACAGAAGCTGATGCGTGTACAAATCCGTTTGTCGTCGACACTGGTCGCTTGTTTTCCTGTCCTCTCTTTTTTTTCCAAAGAGCGCCCTCCAGCATCATCCGGCACGAGTTAGGTGTGACTCCCCCTGTGCCCCCTTAGTCTCCAGATGGAGAAGGAAGGCAGATTCAGCCACCTCCGTTCCACCTTTCCCCCCACACACACATCTCCCCGTTCTTGCTTCCAAGCACGATGTAGCTTCCACCTTTGATTTGGTGATCTAGTTATGGGTGTAAAATCACGTTTGGATGGTCCAAGCGCCTTAGAAGAAGAATCGGTGGTGGTGGGGACACAACTGATCTATTGGCAGGAAGGAATGGGAGAAATCGAGGTGACGTTTACCGCTTAAATCCCCTTAAATCTACGACGCTGAAATCTCACTCTTGTGATTTACTGATGAGTAAAAGTGGCAGCCCCTTTCCAGGGCCAGCTGTTGCTAACGCCACTCAACTCTGGTTGATTTCACCGAAGATGGATCCCATGCCGGACGATTTAGAAATTGCAAGTTAAAAGTGGCGGTGAAGATTCTCATTTCAACCACATCGCGGTTGGATCAGAAGTGATGCTTTAAAACTTTTTTTTTTTTTTGAAAAGGCCACTGGATGGATTTTTTTTCCCCCTCCCTGAGGAGAAAGAAGAGGTTTCCCTTCCCACCCTGGAAGCTTCATCCGTTCTATTGCATGGTGTGGGAGATGGAAGGGCAGTTTTTGACGGTTGAGATGAGTTGATGGGGGGAAAATTGTGCTTTCTTTGCAGGCAACTGGTCTGAGATGACCCTGAGGTCACAAATAAAACTCCCAAGTAACCACAACGGCTCTCGAGAGTTGTTACCGATCCTCTCCCGCAATCCTCTCTGCTCGATTTGTAGCTCGGGATTGAACTGTGGAATCCCTGGTGCTCTCTGAGCTTGGTTGTTTTCTTGCAGACGTTTCATGACCCAGCTAGATAACATCATCAGTGCTAGAAGGGAGAAGACAACTGTATATAAAATGAACAAATCCCCTCCCTTCTAGCACTGATGGTGTTACCTATCTGGGTAATGAAAAGTCTACAAGAAAGCAACAAGGCTCGGAGAACGCCCAACAACCTCACAATTTTCAACTCCACTTTGCTGTCTTTAATGTTGTTTGTTTGTTGTGCCTTTGAGTTCAATTTGACTCCTGGAAACTGCCTGGAGAAGTCCTGGCAGTTTTCTCGGCAAGATTTCAGAACTCGCCTCTTTCTTTCCAAGGTTGAGAGAAACTGGCCCAAAGTCAACTACAAAGAAAACACAACTTTTCCATTCTCACCTTCCCTCACCACTTGTTCTGACCTAGGCTTCCTGATATAGTGAAAAGCACACAATTAGTCCCAAAAAGCCCTTTTTTAAATTTTAAGGGCTGTGAATTCCTTTCATTCACAGCACGTGTTGAATCACCAAGAGTTTATAAATAGTCCAACAGAAGTCTGCCGCAGTCCTTCGGATAAGGCTGGTAAACACCCACCTTTATCTTCTTTGACACGCTGCCGAGGACCTAATTGGCAATTATCTTGGCAAGGCCACACGGAAACACAAGAGTAAAAAACGAAGCTTCAAAGGACAAACTGACACCATCCATAATGTTGCTTCCTGCAAAGGCCCACGTGCCTTTGCTCTTTCTTTATGTCTTATGGGAGGGGCCAATCATCTCCAAGCCTTACTTCCGAGTTGTCCCTTTTGTTTTAATTCTTCTTGCCGTCTGGCAGCTCTAGGAACAGGCTCCCCCTGTACCTCTGCCTCTCTGATGTCCGACTCTGGAGGCTGCACATAACTCCCAGATGGCCCTGGCCCCATCTCTGCCTCTAACGCAGAGCCCTCGTCCGAGCCTTCTTCAGGACTGGCTCACTCTCCGACTCTGCTGCCAGCTCCGCAGGCTGCCGGCGGACCACACCACCATCATCCTATCAGAACCTACCGTTCCCCTCCACCAATTATCTCAGCTGTCTTTCCATCTCCCACACCGTCCAACAGAACTGATGAAGCTCCCAGGATAAGAAGCGAAACCTCTTTTTCCTCCCCCTCCCCTCAAAATACCAACCCGGTTGCCTTTTTCAAAAATAATTATTTATTTCAAAAATTTAAAAAAAAAACCCAAACCTCTCACTTTTGATACAAGTTAAAAGTGGGCTTGGAATGGCCTCTTCACCACGCCATGCTCCATGGGTCGATCAGAGAATTAAAAATCACCTGAAATCTTTTTGGGCTTAAGCACCCCACCACCACCACAACCCCTTCTCGACGCCTCTCGGATCATGGCTTTACTCACACCTAACTTTGTTGCTGGATTGTGCCCCTTTTGACTGTTAACTCTTAACTAGGATTTTGTACTTCTCAATGATTCTGTGCTGTCAGCCTGTGGCTTATCCTCTTGTGAGTCTCAAAAGTTTAAATTATACCACCAAGTGTCTTAAACTTAATTGTATTGGCCATTGTTTTTTCAATGCTACAAGTAAATAATGTATTATTTTCCTCTCTTTTTTTTTTCCTGTGTGTGTTTTCAAAGCTTGTAAAAAAAAGAAAAAACAGAGAGAGCGAGCGCGCGCGAGAATCATACTTTGAATATAATGGCAAACATTTGTTCTGAAAGTTCCATAGACTTTCACAGCTGTAAAAATCAACTGTTGGGGTATTTTTTTTTTCCTTCCTTGATATGTAATAAATATTTATGACATTTGATAATGCAGTTTTATCGTTGGTTTCTTCCCCCTGGAGCGTGCTTGTAATTTACGAGCGCCTCGGAACTGTTCTCGCTTCTCCCTGGACTTGTGAATATCGAACAGGGGAGAACAGATTATCGAACAGGAAACAAACAGTACACAGAAGGAAGTATTTTGTTTTTATTGCTTGAGCCTAACACACAGGAATCTTCTGACTGTGTTGTGGCCCACCAGCAGCCAGTGGAGCTGGTGGCAGACTCAGACAGTGAGGAGGTTGGGGAGGAACATGGGCCAGTCCTGGAGTCCGGGGAAGGCTCTGATGAAGGCTCTGCGTCGGAGGCAGAGTGGGAGCCAGGGCTGTCCGACAGTTGTCAGCTGCCTTCGGAGTCGGACATCAGTGAGGCAGACAAACAGCTGAAGCCTGTTCCCAGTATGTGCATGCGCAGAGCTGCCAGGAGAAGGGAACAGCTAAGGAACATTCGGTAGTAAAGCCACAGGTGGATGGTGAATGGCCCCTCCCAGAGGGAATAGTATAGAGCTGAGGTGGCGCAGTGGTTAGAGTGCAGTACTGCAGCTACTTCAGCTGACTGCTTGTTCAGCAGATCAGCGGATCAAATCTCACCGGCTCAAGGTTGACTCAGCCTTCCATCCTTCCGAGGTGGGTAAAATGAGGACCCAGATTGTTAGGGGGCAATATGCTATTTAGTATACTGTCTTTGGTGTAAGCCGCCCAGAGTCCTCGGAGAGTGGGCGGCATAGAAATATGAATAATAAATTAATTAATTGAATGAATGAATGAATGAATAAATAAATAAGAGCGAAAGAGGAGTGGAGTTTGCAGGAGACAATTAGTTCGCTTAATTGGTTTGTGACTCCTTGCCAAGTTTTGAAGATATTGGCCTGGCAGCTCTCCAAGCCAGATAAGGTCTGTGATTGTAAATTCTCCCTTAAAGGACTTTGCTGGATTTGAATGAGAGGAATTCACAGTAACTTAATAAAAAGGGGGTTTTATCAGGACAAGGAGTCCGTTTTATGCTCTTGGGAAGCCTAGGTCAGAACAGACTGCACCTAGATAAGACTAAATGAGGTTCAACAGCATTCAACAGCGGAGGGGTCAGACTTCACCCTCTTGTGCCTACATAGGGATTCCAGGCTAATTCCCTGCTTGACGCCTCCCCCTCGCTCGGCCCTTCTCTCTCCAACATCCATGTTGCTTTTATGGATTTCAGATCAAAGTCAACCCAGCCAGACCACCATACGCACTCCTGGACAAGTAGTTTGCCCAATCTTTTCTTGAAAATCTCCAGCGATGGAGCACCCACCGTTCCGAGAGACAGGCTGTCCCCCCCCCCAAACCATGCTGACCAGCAATGGAACTGGAATTCGCCTCCTTCAAATCCAGTCGACTATTCTGCGTTTGTATTCCACGGCAAGTCAGAGCAAATCTTAACCTCTTTCTGTGCGGCATCCTTTCCAGTTTTTTTTTTAAAAAATGCCATCGGGCCAGCCGATCCGAATCTGACTTGACACTGGTAAGGTCTCATATTAAGACCTACCTAGTGGCGATAAAAGCGGCAAAATCTAATTATTTTGCCGCTCTTATTGTGTCATCAGATAATCGCCCAGCCGGAGCTTGGGGTGCACCCGGAGGCTCCAACTGGTGCAGAATGCGGCCGCGCGGGGGATTATGGGAGCGACGGGGCGCTCCCATGTGACTCCTCTCCTGCGCGAGCTACATTGGCTCCCGGTGGACTTCCGGGTGCACTTCAAGGTGTTGGTGATCACCTTTAAAGCGCTCCATGGCTTAGGGCCGGGGTATCTACGGGACCGCCTGCTACCACCAATAGCCTCCCACCGGCCAGTTCGCTCCCACAGAGAGGGCCTCCTCAGGGTGCCGTCGGCCAGGCAATGTCGGCTGGCGACCCCCAGGGGGAGAGCCTTCTCTGTGGTAGCACCCACCCTCTGGAACAATCTACCCCCAGAGATACGAGTGATCCCAGATCTCCGGACTTTTCGTCAGGCTCTCAAAACCTATTTTTTTCAGTTAGCCGGGCTGTCCTGATTTTATGATTGGTTTTAAATAATTTTGGTATGGTTTTAATTGGAATGTTTTAAATTAATGGGCCAAATTTATTTAATTATTTTAAATTTATTTTAACTTTTGTATATAAAATGTTTTATTTTTTGGCTGTTCACCGCCCTGAGTCCGAAAGGAGAAGGGCGGTATAGAAATTTGAATAAAGATAAAGAATAAAGATCTTATCCCTCTTTCTACCTTCTTTCCTTCAGCCTATCGAACACAGTTTTCCGTTCTCCCCATCGTGCTTTTTGTATTTCTTTACCCAACAGGTTCAAGGACGGTTTATTTAGGTAGTGAAAGTTACACCACCCTCGTCTCTCGTTTCCAAACTCCGTAAAGGTACAAACGGCTCAGTTACGGTAGTGGTTTTTAACAGTCGTTTATTGAAGCCACACTCAAAACAGCATCCTCGTTTCAAATGTCAAAAGGCAAAAGATTTACGTTAGGGAATCTGAGCACCCGGGGCCCTGCAGATCACAAAAAATAGCACCGCTTTCATTAATGACATTTTCGTGCCGTCTTGGTGAGAGTTAAAGAGTGGCCCGAACCGTGACGCCATCTTCATCAGATCAATCTCCTCGGAAAATGAAAAGAACGGAAGGCTTTTTTGGCCTCGCCAACCAACGTTTTCGCCAACCAATTCAGCGAAATCCACGATGAAGGGGGGAAAAAAAATAAAAAATATTGTGCGCCGGGGTTCCTAACGCGGCCTGCGAAAATGCGCCTCTATCTCTTCTAGACTTTTCCCTTTCGTTTCGGGAACGCAGACGATGGTGAAGATCACGTTGAGCAAACAGGTGGAGGAGAATAACCAGAAGGTCCCATACGGAGTTAGGAGAACCTAGACAAAAAGAAGAAGGAAGTTGGGTTAACTTTGGGGCAACTTTGAGGAGCCCTGGTGGCGCAGCAGACTAAAGCACTGTTATTAACACCAGCTGCCTGCAATTACTGCAAGTTTAAGTCTCACCAGGCTCAAGGTTGACTCAGCCTTCCATCCTTTCTAAGGTAGGTAAAATGAGGACCCAGATTGTGGGGGCAATAAGATGACTTTGTATAAAATATACAAAAGTATGAAGGCTATTTTTTTTTTTTTAATTTGATTTACATGCCGCCCTTCTCCGTAGACTCAGGGTGGCTTACAATGCACTAAGCAATAGCCTTCATCCTTTTTTGTATATTTATACAAAGTCAGCTTATTGTCCCCACAAACTGGGTCCTCAATTTACCTACCTTAGAAAGGATGGAAGGCTGAGTCAACCTTGAGCCTGGCGAGATTCGAACCTGCAGTAATTGCAGGCAGCTGGTCTTAATAACAGGGTGCTTTAGACCACTGTACTACCAAGGCTTAACGCATTATAAGCCACCCTGAGTCTCCAGAGAAGGGCGGCATATAAATCAAATTTAAAAAAAAGAAAAAAAGCATGGAATGGAGGTAAGTGCCTGGCCTGAGCTGCCCCACCTGGGTTTCAGACATGGATGCTATCTCAAAATAAATGAATTTCCAAACTGCCAATCTTTAAGGAAATCTTTTCTTTAATTGAGCACAGCCCGACCGGATTATGACTCGATGCGGACAGGACTGACCTTTTGCCCCCCAATCCCTCCTTTTCCGATCCCCGAATCTCTGCTTCTCATTGGCTATCTTCCAAGTCATTCTTCAGACTTCTTGTCTCGTCATTTCCCAGGAATGTCCCCCCCCCTCCTCATTTCCACGACAACCCGACTTCAAAGGGATTTAGCAGGCAAAAGTTCAGAGCTTATCTCTCTCTCTCCTCTGCTCTCTATGCCAGCGTTGAAGCGCTGACATCGGGATAATGCTCCGTTAATTTGATTTCTTAATCCAAATTTAGACGGCCAGCCATTTTATGAGAAATGACAATGGGTGGAGCACCACAATTGGGAGAAGTTCATAGATGGCCACCTAAAAAGAAAAAAAAGTACCTATAGATGCTACCCAGCACCCTTGCTTACCGTGAGGTCATGGAACTCCTTGGTGACCAGGAAAGCCATGAGCCAGTTGGTGAGGACACAGGCCCCGCTGGCGATTCCTCGGGCCCTGAGGGGGAATATTTCGGACATCACCAGCCAGGGGATGGGACCCCAGCCCAAGGCAAAACCTATGGGTGGCAGAAGAGCCAAAATGAGATTGTCAATTAGATCAGGCAATGGAAACATGACAGCCCTACTTAGCAATGGAGTGATGGTGTAAGGGAAGTCCCTCAGATTTATTTTATTTTTATTTATTTATTTTATTTTATTTTATTGAATTTCTATACCGCCCTACTCCCGAAGGACTCAGGGCGGTGCACAGCCATAAAATAAAACACATAGATATACAAAATTTAAAATCGAATAAAATGAATTAAATAAATTTGGCTGAATTAATACCCATAATTTAAAATACCCATATTTTAAAATACATTAAAAATTTAAAATTTACACTTAGAAGGGAGAAGATTTAGGCGAGGCCAGCTTGATGAAATAAAAGCGTCTTCAGCTCGCGGCGGAAGGTGCGCAGATCCGGAATCCTCCGTATCTCTGGGGGGAGCTCATTCCAGATCGTCGGTGCCCCCCACAGAGAAGGCTCTCCCCCTAGGGGCCGACAGCCGACATTGTTTGGCTGACGGCACCTGGAGGAGCCCCTCTCTGTGGGAGCGTACTGGTCGGTGGGAGGCTGTTAATGGTAGTAGGCGGTCCCGTAAGTAACCAGGTCCTAAGCCATGGAGCGCTTTAAAGGTGGTAACCAGAACCTTGAAGCGCACCCGGAAGACCACCGGGAGCCAGTGCAGCTCGCGCAGGAGAGGTGTTACATGGGAGCTCCATGTTGCTCCCATAACCACCCGCGCGGCCGCACTCTGCGCCAGTTGGAGCCTCCGGGTGCTCCTCAAGGGGAGCCCCATGTAGAGACCGTTGCAATAATCCAGGCGGGAAGTGACGAGGGCATGAGTGACTGTGCGTAACGAGTCCCGATCTAGAAAAGATCAGCAGATAGGTCCTTCTCAATGCATCCATTATATTGAGGTGGGTCAACCTATTCTACAAAGCACCAGGACAAGAAGCAACGGATGGAAACTAATCAAGGAGAGAAGCAACCTGGAACTCGGGAGAAATTTCCTAACAGGGAGAACAATCAACCAGTGGAACAGCTTGCCACCAGAAGTTGTGGGTGCTCCATCACTGGAGATTTTCAAGAGGAGATTGGACGACCATTTGTCTGAAATGGTATAGGACCGTGATGGTGAACCTTTTCTGGACCAAGTGCCTAAATGGCGCGCATGCGCACGGGAATAAATGCGTGCGTGCCTGAACCCCCCAAATGCAATGCGCGCCCTGCCCTCACACATGCGTGGCAGAGTCCCGGCAACCAGCTGGCTGGCAGGAGGTGCGCACATATGCGCGGCGGAGCTGAACTGAGCCAATGGCTCGTGTGCCCACAGAGAGGGCGCTGTGTGCCATTTGTGGCACGCGTGCCACAGGTTCACCATCATGGGTATAGGATCTCCTGCCTGAGCAGGGGGTTGGACTAGAAGACCTCCAAAGTCCCTCCCAACTCTGTTATTCTGTTACAGTTCAGAAATCGTTAACATCTGAGAACCGAAAGCTTCCGGAAAAGTTCCGGGATCAACCCCGTACCCAACAATTCCAGATGACGGGATTCCCTCTTTTTTTTTCTAGAACCAGCGCTTCGTCAAGACCCTCACTCACCCATAATGAAGAAACTCATGCTCAGCACTGCTAACCAGGCCAGGGGGTGCCCTTCCTCCATAAGGGGGGTGTTCAGCAGCTGGAGATGGGAGGAATTGCTGGGGCTGGGGACGGTAATTCTAAAATAGATCCCAAACACCGTTGCACTGGCAGCCATGATCGCTCCTGGGGACGAGAGCGGGAGAGAAAGAGAGAGCAGGAGGTTAACCTTCTGGGTGGGGTGGGATTCAGCCAGTGCTAATTTTACCTCTGGTTCGCCAAACCGGTAGTTGCAAGGACTTGCTGACCCCACCCACCTCACCCCACCCCTCCCAGGAGTCTCCACGCGGCCCGTTTTAGATGCTAGATAAGTGTAGGGTTTGTGAGGAGGCTCTGGGAGGGTGAAAAACGGGATGTGTTTCTGGCGTCCGGAGGGCTTCCAGAGCCCTGGGGAGGCTGTTTTTGCCCTCTCAGAGGCTCAAGAAAAGCCTCCGGAGCCTGGGGAGGGCAAAAAAACAGGCCTCCCAGAAGTTCCGGAAGTGAGCCCGTTTCCGGCCTCCGGAGGGTCTCCGGAGCCTGAGGGAGGCAGTTTTCGCCCTCCTGGAGGCTTGAGGAAAGCCTCCAGAGCTTGGGGAAGGTGAAAACGCCCCCCTCCCCCCGCTGTGGTGCAGGAGACTGAGTAGGCCACGCCCACCATGGCCACGCCCACCCAGCAACTGGGCAGAGAACCGGTTGCTAAAGTTTTTGAATCCTATCCCTGGTTAATTCCTAATTTCTTGGGAGGATGGGGATGGGACTCAAAACTTGGGGAAAGGGAGCCGGTCTTTTCTTCCTACCTGAGATGATCAGAAGAATTTTTCGTCCGGTTTTATCGATAATGAGAGCGGCCATTGCTGTGAAGATGACTTGGATGGAGCCAACGATGACGGTAGCAGCACTGCTGTTCTAGAAGGCACAGAGAACACGGAAGGAAACTTTAATTTGGCTCTCTTAGGAAAAGGACCGATACTCAACTTAAAAACCCTTCAAAGCTACAACGGCACTGACAGTGACTTACGACCGTTCCTCACACTTACGACGGTGGTACCACCCTCACGGCCACGTGGTGCCTATCTTGACTAAGGTAGTAGCGTCCCAGGCTCACTTGATTGCCATCTCCAAGAAGCAAAGTCAGTGGGGGGAAGATGGGTCCGCTTAAGGACCGCTTTTACCTGCAGGGATTCCCTTAACAACCCACGGCAAGCAGGTCGTAAAATCGAATGTGACTCACTTAACAACTGCCTTGCTTAGCAACGGAAATTGTGGTCCCAACTCTGGTCGTTAAGTCGAGGACTATGTAAGTTAAGGAAATGTCCTTTGTAATTATTATTTATTTATTCATTCATTCATTCATTCATTCAACTTGTATGGCGCCTTTCTCCGAAGACTCAAGGCAGCTAGTCTAGTCTAGTGAAAAGAAGGACTAGGGGAAACATGATAGCAGTCTTCCAACATTTGATGGGCTGCCCCAAAGAAGAGGGGGTCAACTTATTCTCCAGAGCACCTGAAGGCAGGACAAGAAATAATGAATGGAAACTAACCAAGGAGAGAAGCAACCTGGAATTAAGGAGAAATTTCTTAACAGAGAGGACAATTAACCAGTGGAACAGCTTGCCACCAGAAGATCTGGGTGCTCCATCACTTGGAAGTTTTCAAGAAGAGTTTGGACAGCTGCTTGTCTGAAATGGTGTAGGGTTGGGGTTAGGTTGGACTAGAAGACCTCCAAGGCCCCTTCCAGTTCTATTCTGATGGACTACCTGTGTCATTGATCAATATGACCAAGAGGTGTTGTTCTACCACCCCAAATTAAAATCTAACGGAGCCGAAAGACATCAGCCGGGGTAGCCCAGGAGAAACGATCCAGAGTTGACTTCCTCACCTTAAAGTTGGCGTCTTCGAAGATCGTTTCAGCGTAAAACATCAAGGCGTTGATGCCAGATGCTTGCTGGAAGAACATCATGGCCACTCCAATCAGGAACGGCTTGTAGATGGAGGGGTTCTTGAACTCAGCGATGCTCATTTCTTGCTACAAAGGGACAGACAGGTAGTCCTCGACTTACGAACAGTTCATTTAGGGATCGTTCAAAGTCACAATGGCACCGAAAAAAGGTACATGGCTGTTGTGGTCCGTCGGCGGCCTGCGAAGCTGGCAGCAGAGTCGGAGAGTGAGGAAGTTGGAGAGGAACATGGGCCAGTCCTGGAGTCTGGGGAAGGCTCAGACGAGGGCTCTGTGTCGGAGGCAGAGAAAGGGCCATCTGGGAGGTACGTCCAGAGCCTCCAGAGTCAGACCTCATCGAGGCAGAGGAACAGGGGGAGCCTGTTCCCAGTGCGCGCATGCACAGAGCTGCCAGAAGGCAAGAACAGTTAAGACAAAAGGGACGACTCAGGAGTAAGGCTTGGAGATGATTGGCCCTTCCCATAAGACTTAAAAGAGAAGCAAAGGCACGTGGGCCTTTGCAGGAAGCAACGTTGTTAATTCTGTGCAGTTTAAAGTCTGAAGCTCTGTTTGGACTCCGTGTGGCTTTGCCAATTAGGTCTTTGGCAGCTTGTCAAGGGAGATAAAGGTGGGTGATTATCAGCCTTATCCCAAAGGATTCTTTACAACTATTGGGGACTCATCTGTGAATGAACAGAATTCACAGCTGTTGCAATAAAACAGGTTTTTGGGACTACCTGTGACTCAAAAATTAATATAAGACCCGGTCTTATTTTCGGAGAAACACGATAATTTTTTTAAAAAAGTGAAACAAAAAGGAAGGCTTAAATAAAGAGGCAACCTCGGAACTGCCTGGTGGATTCTTTTGTCACCTGTTCGTTGACGTTGGCTTCAATCTGCCGGCATTCCCACTCGTGATCCACCAGTGGGCCCCGCAGGAATTGCAAAGCCGCGATGGCTTCCGACTGCCGATTCTGACGTAGCAGGAAGCGAGGGGTTTCGGGCATGAAAGCCATGAGCCCCAGCAGGAAACAGGGAGGGATGGAGCATAACACCGCCAGCCAACGCCACTCCAGAGCCATGCCTGCGGGACGGAACGAGGAAAAGCTGTTCTTAGGGCCGCCGGAGGCTTGAAAGGAAGGGATGGCGTCAAGGAACATCTACTCCAACGGCTTGGAACTGCTGCAGGGGGTGTTTGGGGGGCACAGGAGGACCAGCAGGGTCCTCTTCAGAGGTGGCACACGTGCCAAGAGAGATGTCCTAGGTTCAAAATGTGTCTTTATCTAGGGTAGCTTTTTTAAAATCACTGTCCTGTTGTTCGTTCATTATATTTTCAGTGAAAACTTAGCGATAGCTTTCTCTGGGTTTTCAGGATGAAAATTACAGAGGAGATGTCCTGTTATCCACTTTTTTTCCTTCAATCTCCTTCCTTCTTTCCTTCCTCCCCTCCCTCCCTTATCTCTTTCTTTTTTCTGTTTTTTTTTTGCTTTTTTTCCTTCCTTCCTTCCTCCCCTTCCTCCCTTATCTTTTTTTCTGTCTTTCTTTCCTTTTTTCCTTCTTTCCTTCCTCCCCTCCCTCCCTTTTCTTTTTCTTTCTCTCTCTCCCTTACCTCCCTCCCTTATCTTTGTTCTTTCTTTCTTTCCTTTTTCTTCCTTCCTTCCTCCCTCCTTCTCTTTTTTCCCTTCCCTCCCTTATCTTTCTTTTCTTTCTTTTTCTTCCTTCCTTTCTCCCTCCTTTCTCTCCTTTTTTTTCTCCCTCCCCTCCCTCCCTTATCTTTTTTTCTTTCCTTTTTCTTTTTTCCTCCCTCCTTCCCTCCCTCCCTCCCTTTCCTTTTTCTTTCTCCCTTCCCTCCCTCTTTCCTTTTTTCTTTCCTTTTCTTCCTCCCTCCCTCTTTCCTTTCCTTTTTCTTTCTCTCTCTTTTTCCCCTCCCTCCCTCATCCCTTTCTTTTTTCTTTATTTCCTTTTTCTCTTTATTTTTCCCTTTCCCTTCCTTCCTTCCCTTCCTTCCTTCCTCTTTCCCACCTTTCTCTTTCTTTCTTTTTCTCTTTTCCTTCCTTCCTTCCTTCCTTCTCTTTCCTTCCTCAGAGTTCCTTCCAGGGAAGATGGGACAAAACATCTCCCTCCGTCCAAGTCTGGATTTAACCATGCATTTTAAGCCAGGACGTGACCTGCTAGGTAAGCTCCCAGGATGCCAGTCACCACCATCAGCTGAACGCACGAGCCAAGGACTCCTCGGATCTTGGAGTGAGACGTTTCGGATATATATATCTAAGACATATGCAAGAAAGGTTAAATTAACCTCCAAAGCTCTCACAGAGAAGACCAGGGAAGCTCATGGAATCTTACTATCGCCCTCGTCTTCCCATTAAAACTGGTAGTCCTCCTATTCTCCCATCTTGCCTTAATGAGAAGGAACAAAAATGTCTCCTTCAAAGACAAGGATCGGTTGACTTTAACTCAGCACGAGGTAGCTTACGTTATTTTGAGAATTCCTCGATTCCTGTATCCAAGCGGGCGGAGGCAGGAACGATTTCTGCTTGCTTGCACCTTCTCGGCTGCTATTGCCAATTTAGCAGTAGGAATTTCCTCTTATCCTCTGGGGAAATCACACTGGCAAAAGACTGACACACCATGCCCCTTACCCAGTGGTGGAATTCAATTTTTTTTACTACTGTTCTGTGGGCATGGCTTGGTAGGTGTGGTGTGGCTTGGTGGGAAGGGGAAGGATATTGCAAAATCTCCATTCCCACCCCACTCCAGGAGAAGGATACTGCAAAATCCCCATTCCCTCCCCACTCCAGGAGAAAGATACTGCAAAATCTCCATTCCCTCCCCACTCCAGGAGAAGGATACTGCAAAATCCCCATTCCCTCCCCACTCCAGAAGGATACTGCAAAATCCCCATTCCCTCCCCACTCCAGAAGGATACTGCAAAATCCCCATTCCCTCCCCACTCCAGAAGGATATTGCAAAATCTCCATTCCCTCCCCACTCCAGAAGGATACTGCAAAATCTCCATTCCCTCCCCACTCCAGGAGAAGTATACTGCAAAATCCCCATTCCCTCCCCACTCCTGGGGGAAGGATATTACAAAATCTCCATTCCCACCCCATTCTGGGGGCAGCCAGAGGTGGTATTTGCCAGTTCTCCGAACTACACAAAATTTCCGCTACCGGTTCTCCAGAACCTGTCAGAACTTGCTGACTAGCACCCCTGCCCTTACCGGAACTACCAAAGATGTGACACCACTGGCCAAGCCACACAGCAGCCGTCCCAGATAAAGCATCCAGATGTTTTGGGCCGAGACGATGATCAAGAAACCAAAAACGTACGGTACTGTGCAGAGCATAAGGCTAAGTTTCCGGCCAATTTTGTCCACCACGTATCCTCCAAGTGTCCCGCCAGCTGCGGCCCCCAGAGTGACCACAGACTGCCAAAAAGAAAGGGAAGAAAAATGAGAAAAGCAGGGAAATGAAACGGCGGGTTCAAGGGGGGCTGATCAGCCCATAAGTCCTCGCAGCAACTCACCCCAAACCATGACGCTTGCGTGTCGTCTAGTCTTAGTTCCGGATTGTTGCTTCGCTTCAAACTAGGGATAGCCGGCGAGCTGTAGCCCAAGACGAAGCCGAAACTTAGCGGTCCTAAAACAGCGGCGAAGGTTGCCAAGTAGAGATTGTGGTTTTGGACTTTGCTGTGAGAGAAATAAGGATGACAGAAATCGGTGATAAATATCAGTTTGGGCCAAAAAGGGACTGATCTACCGGGGAAAAGAAGCATTAAAAACTGTGGCTTGTTAAGTGCGACGAGGACTTTGCGCACCGATGTTTCCCTGGCTTTTGTTGGTAAAAGGAGTTTAGGTTGCATTTGATTACGGTTTTGGAGAGCAGGCGACTCACTGGATCCACAGGCAAGTCCGCTGTTCCTAAGTCAACCTGTATGATTTAACCTGAGCTGTGGAATGAGATTTCTCTAAGGCAGGGGTGTCAAACTGGACAAGAAATAAATGCAGCAAGACAAGAAACCAATCTATCAACGTTGTTTTCCGGCAAAGAGCCCAAGAGCCGTTGCTGGTCTGTTTTAAGCCTTATGGGAGGGGACAATCATCTCCTGGCCTTACTCCCGAGTCGTCCTTTTTGCTTTAGCTGCTCTTGCTTTCTGGCAGCTCTTCTCATACATGCACTAGGAACAGGCTCCTCCTGTTCCTCTGCCTCTCTGCTGTCAGCCTCTGGAGGCTCCGGAGTCCGCACATCACTCCCCGATGGCCCTGGCCCCATCTCTGCCTCTGATGCAGAGCCCTCATCCGGGCCTTCCCCAGCCTCCAGGACTGGCCCATAAAGGTAAAAGTAAAGGCTCTCCTCACACATATGTGCTAGACCTTTAGGGGGCGGTGCTCGTCTCCGTTTCAAAGCCGAAGAGCCAGCGCTGTCCGAAGACGTCTCTGTGGTCATGTGGCCGGCATGACTAAACGCCAAAGGCGCATGGAACGCTGTTCCCTTCCCACCAAAGGTGGTCCCTATTTTTTCTACTTGCATTTTTTACATGCTTTCGAACTGCTAGGTTGGCAGAAGCTGGGACAAGTCACGGGAGCTCGCCCCGTTATGCGGCGCTAGGGATTCGAACCGCTGAACTGCCGACCTTTCGATCGACAAGCTCAGCATCTTAGCCACTGAGCCACTGCGTCTCTTATCAGGAATACATACACACCTCAAATAAATTTCCAACTGAGAAGGTCTTCCAGCAGCATTCAATTCCGTCTCTGGGTTAGGGGTCTCCAAAAGGGGTCTGTATTCCTCGGAAGCCATTCTCTTTGGCTGTGCCCCAAAGAAGACGCTTAATGATAGGACAACTTGGTCTTAAGCCCCTTGAAATTATAAGGAAACGGGAGGAGGGGGGAGAGACAAGAAAAAAAAAACCCATGATAAGCAGGAAGAAGCAAATCATATGACTTCAAACCACTAGCTTCCTTAAATCATAAACTGCAGACTCTTAAATTTTAATTTCTCATCAGAAAAAGACGCACAGCCTCTGTTCTCTGCTTTCTTCAAAAGGGAGATATTTACAGTGGGTTTATACTTGGGATTGCTTTGAGGCCAAAAGCATATAATGATCTTTACAGCCAATAATTCTCTTTCCCGATCTCTTCCTTAGACTTAGACTAACTTTATTGTCACTTTAAATGTACACTAATTGGCACACATTAAAATGAAATTTTGTTGCATACGGCTTCTTGCTTAGACAGTGACCTCTGTTCTAATAATAATAATAATAACAACAACAACAACTACTACTACTACTACTACTACAACAACTACAACAACAACAACTACTACTAGTAGTACTACAACTACAACAACTACAACAACAACAACTACAACAACTACAACAACTACTGCTACTACTACAACTACAACAACAACTACAACAACTACAACTACAACAACTACAACAACTACTGCTACTACTTTATTGTCATTGTACGTATGACGACATTCACTTAACACCCAAAGACCAGGTCCAACACACATAACAATCCCCAAACACCCCGCCCCTAAACCACCCAAATTCCCCACCCCTAAACCACTCAAACATCCACACAACAGACCAAGTAATGCTGTCCAACAGCTCACTGATGACTCTTATCTGATCAACCAGAAAAGCAAGAATGAGGTAAGAGGAAATGATGTTTTTGAGGACAGGATGACGGCAGTCTGAAGAAACATCTCTCTAAAAAAATCCCAGAGTTTCAGGATTCAGATCTACACACAGCAAGTTCACGTCTTGGCATGACACAAGCTCACACACAAATCACCTTCTGTTTGACACTACATAGGGTAGCCTTGTCCAGTCCAATACACCCCTCCCCCCCTCCATCCAAGCAATGGATTTGGCCGCCCTGAGTCTTCGGAGAAAGGCGGCATATAAATTGAACTAATAATAATAATTTCCTTTTCAACCATCACACCAAACCGGCCTGAAACTGACTAGACCTTAATCAGTTGCACGCTTAAGGCTTTTGCCCACTCAATCAGCTCAAGCACAATCCTGTGATTGAAAAAAATCACTTTTTTCTGATATTGGGGGTGGGGGTGGGGAAGAAATCTCATCTCTATGTAAGCTGAAGTAATATTTGGGAGGGGAGGCTTTTCACTGTAATTTCTGGCATGGATGCCAAGAGGTTGGCAATGGCATCCTGCAATCTCTGTGTCTTTCTGCTCAGAAAGCTTCAGGGAAGGTGAGCTATATATAGAATATTTGGGGGGGGGAATGCATTAATCTTGGAAAGCTGGCATTGATCTCCTCCTTTCCCCTTTTTCTCTCCTTCTGGGGAATCAGCTGCCCCACCCAATGCGTCCAAGAAGGAGGGAATGCTGGGCATTGTAAACACAGGCAACGGGTGGCTTTTTTTCCGATTGCAAACACCCGTCCTACCCTGCAAGGGACCTGAATTCCTAGGTTGACAAGTGAATTTTGAGATGCGGATCTCTGCAGAGGGCGCCAGGTTGGGGAACGACCCAGGGGAGGGATATTTCTTGGGCAAAAGCCACAGGGACAATATGGGCCTCCCAGAGGAATCCAAGAGCATGCAAAAAAAAAAAAAAGGCTGTCCTGGAGCCCCCCACTCACCTTCCCCCCCCCCACTCCTCTCCTTTTTAATTCCAGCGCTTCCCCGCCGACCCAAATCTAAACAGGGTCAAAACGTACAGCAAGGTTTGCAAGGTGGAACCAAAGACCCTCCGGGATCCGGTTTCCCAGCCGGGGCCAGAAAGCGCCGGACCGGAAGTCCGTCGATTTTTTTTTTATTAAAAAGGAAGCGGCATCCGGTTTTGTAGAGGCCTTTCTAGGAAAAAAAGGAACGGGGGTGATTCGGGCTCGGGTAGATAAACCCGAAGCTTTGCCATTTTCAATGTTTTTATGCCTTTTTTTCCGCTTTCCCCACTCACACCCCATCCCCGCCCGAGAGTTTGGCTTCTCCGGACGAAACTCGATTAACCCAAGGCCGGAAAAGGACGCTCTACCCTCTGCGTCTCTATGGACCGGACGCGGGCGGTGGCTGGCGCGCGCGGGGATGACGTCAGCGCCCCCGCGCCGGAAGCTCCCCGGCCAGGAGCTCTGCTGGGATCCGGTGGCGGCAGGTTCGACCCCCCAAATGAGAGCGGCGGGTGGGAGGGAGCGAAGGGGGGGAGAGGGAGGGGGGAGCCCGGTGGGGGGGCAAGCCTGGGGTAGGGGACCGGGAGGGGGGGGCCACAGGTTGCTATGGAGACCCCCTGCAGCCAGGGGGGCGGGGCCAGCAGGGTGGGAAAGAGGGAGGGGCGTGGACAGGTTTTTGGTGGGCCGAAGTGGGGGGTGGGGGGTGGGGGGGGCCGTGGAGGCTGCTTGGGGGGGTGGGGGGGGGTCAGGGGGGGCTGCTATTGCTTGTCCTCCCTCCTCTCTCTCCTTCCAGGGATGAGCCCCAGCTTGGCCCTTTGCAAGGCAAAAAGGGGTGGGGGGGGCATCAGGGGTGGGGAGGGTCTTGGGTGGAGGTCAGAAATCCCTTTTAAATTGCGCCCCCCCCCAAAAAGGAGGCCAGAATAGAGAAAAAAATCACAGAATCTGAGCTGGAAGGGGCCTTGGAGGTCATCTAGTCCAGCCCCCTGCTCAACAAGGGAGAGTCAATCCCGTTCCAGACAAATAAGTCTTCTAAAAAAAAACGATACCGACAGGACAAAAAAGAGCAAAAAACAAAAAGCAAGCAAAATAACTTACAGGCGGTCCTCGACTTACAACAGTTCGTTTAGGGGACCATTCGAAGTTACGACGTCGCTGGGAGGGGAAAAAAAAGCGACTTGGGACCGTTTTATTATTTTTTTTTACGCTTAACGACCTTTGCAGCATCTCCACGTCGGTCACGTGATTTGCATTCAGATGGCTTGGCCACAGACTCAACATTTACGACGGTTTGCAGCGTCCCTGGCTCACGGGTGCGCCTTTTGCGGCCTTCTGACAAAAGCCATAAAATGGGGCAAAACTCAACAAATGTCTCGCTTAGCAACATAACTTCCCGGGGGGGGGAAGGGGGCTCGATTGTGGTCGTAAGTCGAGGACTACCTGTAATGTAGTCTATGGAACAACAGCAGGGTGTATGGTAGGAATGTATCGATGTCATCGAATATAGAACCATAGGGTTGAAAGGGACTTCGGAGGTCTTCTAGTCCAGCCCCTTGCTCAAGCCGGGGACCCCTATTCCATTCCAGGCAAATGGCTGCCAAATCTTTTATAAGCCTCCGTATAAATAGAGTAAGTCGCAGCAAAAAGATGACAGTAAAAGAGACCCTTAGGTCACACAGTCCAGGGGTCGGCAACCTGTGGCTCTGGAGCCGCATGTGGCTCTTCGGGCCCTCTGCTGTGGCTCCCTGTTGGGTGATCCCACCACTGGCTGGCCCCGCCCCTCGCTCTCCCCTCCTAGTCACTCCTCGCCTGGCCTGAGAAGAGAAGGGCGACGGCAGGGGATGAAGAAGTGGCCAGGGCAGAGAGAGAGAGATACAGAGAGAGAGGGAGAAGAGGGGTAAAAGAGGGAGGGGGGAGAGAGAGAGAAATGTCAAAAGGATTTTGTGATTCCCGGTGTTTTTTAACAACTGGTTCTCTGCCCTAATGACCGGTTGGGTAGGCGTGGCTAAGGGGGGTCATGTGACTGTTGGAAGTGAGTGACATCGAGCTGGCCACGCCCACCCAGGTTTTGTGGCTCCCGGTGTTTTCTTTTCTGTGGGAAACGGGTCCAAATGGCTCTTTGAGTGCTTAAGATTGCAGAGCCCTGATCTATACCAGTGATGGTGAACCTTTTCATCACGGAATGTGCACGTATGTGTGGCCAGTTGGTCTTCGGCTTTCCAGCACGCACATGTGCGCCAGCTAGCTGGTCTTCGCATACACCGGAGCGCTAGAAATCTGAAGACCAGCTTGCCGGCACGCACCTGCCTGTATTTTGTCTGTTTTTCGGGCCGTTTTGGGCCAAAAAACAACCTGAAAACGGCCCGAAAAATGGCCTTTGTTTTGCCGTTTTGAGGCTGTATTCTGGCTCTCCAGTACCCACAAAGACCAGCTGGACGGCGCACATGTGCACGCCTGAAACCAGAAGAGCAGCTGTCGATGGCACGCGTGCCCACAGAGAGGGATCTGCGTGCCACCTCTGGCACTCGTGCCATCACGGCTCTCGACCATCTCAGACAAATGGCTGTCCAGTCTCTTCTTTTAAAACCTCCAGTGATGGAGGACCCACAACTTCTAGAGGCAGCCTGTGGTAGGGGGCTTCTCCTGCCCATCAGAGCAACCCCCCTGTGAGGGGATAGGATGGGGAGAAGAAGGCACCTCTGTTTTTTCACATAGACAGGCAACCAAACCACCAATGTCAGCACTTCCCTTTATTGTAAGGTGGCAGTAACAGCATCTCGTCAGCATTTCTGAAAGCGCTCCTCCCTCCCTTCTTTTCACTCTCCGGAAAACCAGGGAGGGCCCCTTCTGAGTCATTTTCCACGCCCCCATTCCTTCTCTGGGCTGAATTTTTGCTTATCGGTTGCGGCTCTTCCTCCCCAAAATTCTTCTATACAGCTTTCCAGGAACGCTGGAGAGATGTCTGTACTAGTTCCAGGTAGTCTCCACCCAAAGAATAAGAGCTGTCGATCTGAAGAGCATAGCTTGTGAGAAGCAATTGCCCCCCCACAAAGTGGCTGCAAGTATTAAATCCTCGTAGGCAGAAGCATGCAGGAAATGTACAGAGATAGGCTTAAGGGGGGGAAATATTTGAGATTTTGTGCTGTAATTGTTGCGTAGAACAAGTTCCTGGAGGCAATCCAGAGCCAGTTTTGTGCTGCGTGGAGGCCCACGAAGCTGAGACCTTTTACGTCATTCCCCCTGTTATTGGCCATTGTTCATTATTTATCTTTAAAAAAAAAAAAAAAAAAACTTCCCTGTCATTTTCTCCTGTCAGTTTGTTAATCCTAAACAGTTTCCTTTACCTTGTAATCAGATCTCTAGTAAGTGCCTTATATAAGAAAGCAAAGCAAAAACAACAAGAAATGGGACAGCAGGCCGTTCCCATGAGAGGACTTCAGCTTTTTAGCATGAGCGATCTGCTAAAAGGAAAAAAAAAGGGAGAAGGGAAGGGAAGGATGAAAGAATAAGGGAAGGGGGGAGAGGGGGGAAGGGAGGAGAGGGAAAGGAAGGAGTGGTGGAAAGGATGAAAGAGGAATGGAAAGGAGGGGTGAGGGAGGAGGGAGGAGAAGAAAGGAAAGGAAGGATAAAAGAGGTAAAGGAAGGGAAGGACCAAGGGGGAAGGGAAGGATGAAAGTAAGGGAAGGGAGGAGAAGAAAGGAAGGATAAAAGGGTAAAGGAAGGGAAGGAGCAAGGGGGAAAGGAAGGATGGGAGGAAGGGAAGAGAAGAAAGGAAAGGAAAGGGAGGGGAAGAAAGGATTAAAGGAAAGGAAGGGGGAAGGGAGGAGAGGAGCAAAAGGAGGGAGGGAAGGGAAGTATGAAAGTAAGGGAAATGAAGGGGGAAGGGAGGAGAGGAAAAGGAGGGAGGGAAGGATGAAAGGGAAGGAAGGGGGAAGGGAGGAGAAGAAAGGAAAGGAAGGATAAAAGAGTAAAGGAAGGGAAGGAGCAAGGGGGAAGGGAAGGATGAAAGGAAGGGAAGGAAGGGGGAAGCAAAAGGAGGGAGGGAAGGGAAGTATGAAAGTAAGGGAAATGAAGGGAAGGGAGGAGAGGAAAAGGAGGGAGGGAAGGATGAAAGTAAAGGAAGGGATAGGGGAAGGGAGGAGAGGAGAGGAAAGGGAGGAAAGGAAGGATGAAAATAAAGGAAGGGAAAGAAGGAAGGGTCATTTTATCCATTCTATTCCCCCCCCCCCCACTGACATTTACCCACTTTTTTTTTTTTAAATCTCATTTCTTAATCCTAACTGAAATAACTAAACCCTTGAAAAGTTCACGGAAAATAAAACGAGCTATTGAAGGTCCTGTTTCATTTAGGCATGTTTTGGAGATGCATTAGAGAAAGACCGGGTCAGAAACCTTCAGAGGTGGGTGGGGTCTTTGTTGGTTTGTTAGTTCCACGACCCAACTAGTTAACATCATCAGGGCCTTCCCATATTTTGGGGTTGCATCCAGAATGTTTCCCAGCCAGCCAGAGGCCGATCCTTGTAGAGCGACTTACCTGGCGGAGAATAGACCACCTGAGCGAGGCATAACCTTAGGAGAGCTGGATGGATCTCTGAGGAGCCTATCACGGCCTCGGTTACTGATATGAGTCTTTGTGATTTGAACAGGAGAAATGGCCACAGAGGAAGGGCAGCCCCTGCTCGGTTCCAAGGAGCAGAAGGAGAATTGGCAGCAACCCACTCAGCACCGTCCTATCACAGACAACTATCTAAGGTAGATGCAACCTCTTTCCCAAGCGGCTTGAAGGCTAGGAATCATAAAAACCATCATCAGAGAAGGCGCTAAGGGTTTCCATTCACCCGGTCCTCACCAACTGGTCTTCTTTCCCTTTTGAGTGGTTGGAGCAGGGGTGTCAAACTTGATTTCATTGAGGGCCGCATCAGGGCTGTGTTTGACCTCAGGGGGCTGGAGTGGATGTAGCCAGCTCGACATCACTCGTGTTGGGGTCGCCTGTGGCGGCCCAAGTGCTCTGCCGGCGGAAACAGGCTCCCGAGCTTTTCGCTGGCAGAGGCACTGCAGGCTGGTCCTTCACTGTTTGACACCCGTTGGAGCATCAAACGGCCAAGCAAGCTGTTTGTTTCCAAACTGCGCCCGCCCTTCTCTTGGTTTAAGTCTTCCCAGGAC